CGTTATTGCTAGATCCGTAGCTTTCTCACGAATATTTGAATCAGACAACTTCACTCTTAACGAAGCTTTCTTTGCGAACGTTTTCTTGATTCTAAAAATAAACTATATCGTACTCTTGCACGCTGTGTCGATCAAATTTATTCCTGAATAACTTTTTGGGAGATTACTACTTTCTAATAGTATTCGAGCTGTTTGGTCCATCTTATTGTGGTAAAGTGAACATTTTATTAGCACTAATTGTTAATCCAATTGAATTGAGATAAAAAAACTTTAATGTTTACTCCCAATTATTCAACTAACGAAAATAAAGATTCTTTAAAGATCTATTAAAGCCTACAAATGGCATGCAATATTTTTTTTCAGTGAATATAAAGCAGTTGTATCTTTATGGTATGATTTTTGATGATGTGGCATATAAAAAATGAGATATACATAAAAGCTTTCTATTGTGTAGGAAAACATAAATATGTACATTTGTTCTATTTTAGTCGCTCAAACGCACAAGGGCCAAACTACTATGTGAGAGATAACGTTAATTATGTAGCTCTATTTTTCCAAGTTTAAATATTTATGCAGTAACTGTTTAAATGATGATGAACATCAGTTTATTACTATCAATAGGGATTAAAAATAAATAATGGTCTGTATATATATGTATATACATATATTTCACATATGTAGCGGACTGTATTTGATCTGCAGTAAAACGTTATAATGTTAACATGTTTGAGCAAAAAAAGGACTTAGTCAACCTGTAAAAATAAAGTAGAAATTATTAAAATATGAAAAAAATTAGGTTAAAAGTGTTCTTGTCAAAACTTTTAAGATAATCATACATTTTTTTAAGGAAATTGCTAGCAAACATAACAAAAAAGACATCTTAAGTTTTATTAGTAGTTTAAGAAATCATAGAAAAACAATAAGCTATTAGTAGAAAAAATGTAAAAAAAGGATTATAGTTACGATGACACAATGCTCAAGTCTACTGTTAGTTTCAGTGCTGATGATTATAATAAAATAAATAATACCGTTACAAATCCGATTGGTGATGGTAAAATTAACCTTCATACACCTAAAAATACAAATTTATAGATAGTTGATTAATATCGAAAAGATGTATTAGAGTTAGTGTAGAGGCTTTCCAAAAAAAATGTAATAGGCATGCTTATTTATTCACCTGTATGTTTTATGAATCATGATCAAGTCAGAATAAACGAATAAGGACTTCTAATAAAAGGAGATAGTAAAAAAATCACAAGATATACGTAGCCTTGCTAACAATAATTTGAGAAAGTTTTTTTTCTAAATAATCTTATTAAGAAAGGGATGAAGCAAAATAGAGCTTCAAGACAACATAATAGTCATAAATTTAATGCAGTACTGTGTTAAATACCTTATATTATTAAAAGTAAAAAAGAGAATGACTATTAAATTGCTTAAATAAAGAATAACATGCTTGAGCAAGTAGATTATGTACACTAGGATGATGTGTCCAAATGAGTCAATTAGCCACCTTTGATAACTCATAGCTAAAAGATCAGCAGGAAACTATATCTATAGTAACGTATTACTATGAATTATTGAAGAATTGCGTGAGTCGGTTAGGTAAGACTAAATTGAAGACTGAAGACAGCAATTGATATCCTTCTAGTATCGGATATAAAGTCACAGCAGACGGATGATATAATTTAGAAAACAAAATATTGTGCAATACGAGCTAGATTAAATGAATCCGGTGTTGAATCATTCAAGAGACTTACTCTTTACAGAATAGTGAACTCAAAACAAGAAATAAATACTATAAAAAAGGTTGTATGTCAGATATTTTGTATTTGTTTAGAAGACCTTATCAAGAAAAAGACGTTATCGAACATTCCTAAAATCATTTATTTATCAGTAGTATGTCAATGACGATAAATCTTTGTAGAAGGACTCTAGGAACCAAATTAACGTAACGAACTATTTTCAAACTAAAATATACGAGGGCTGTGTGAGACATGGCAGGTCAATCTTATTCAATAATAGCTTAAAATAAAAAAATTAATGTAACAGATACATGCTAACTGTAATAAATGTATTTTTAAGATTCTTATTGGTTGTACAAATCAAACATAAAATGGATAATGATATCACTGCTTTGACAAAATCCTAATTGTCTCAAAGTCGTGTACTTCACAATTTGCATACTAATGTAAGTATAATTTTTTTTTGTTCTTCGATGGCTTTTTTTGAAAGTTTTAGAATTTATTTTTCTTAACGTACAGTTATTTTAGGGAATCTACATGCAAACGATTTAATCTTATTTGAAAGAATAAAAGAATATGATTGTTTTTATCATTAAATAAATAAATCAAAGATTTTATTTATAATTATCAAAGAGAAGGGATAAAAGCCCCTACAACTGCTCTCATCTGTGTGGTTTAACCACTATATAACCACTCCATATGCTTGTCTAACAATTAATTGAATAATTATGCACTTTTTCCAATAAATTTATTTTTAAAAACTATTATAACATTTACAAAAAAACTTATTAATCGATCTATGACAACTGAAATTACCTGTCACCTAAATATTTAATAAATAAACTTTGTGCATTAGCCATCTTGCATAATTTTTCGAACAATTAACGATCATTTCCAAGAGCTTCTTGAACTAATAGAAGGACTTTTAATTCTCTGTTAATGGTAATGACTACTTTACGACTATGTATTGTAGTTACACGCTCAACATTAGTAACTGGAATTTTTTTGAATCCCCAGCTCTGACAGCTTCTGTATTGGTAAACAGGTAGTACTTGCAATACGGTTGAGTAACGTACAATCCATTTGTCTTAGATGATAATTATATAATAGTTTAAATGTTACCATGTGGTTTTAAGTATATTATTTTCAACAAGAAGAGTGGTTATCAAAGTTTTGAGAGCTTGAAGAAGAACTGTTTGTTCTTAAGCTTACTAAAAAATTAAATAATCTCTAGAATTAAACTCAGTTACTTGTATACTCGTTTTAAATTTTATCCTTACTACTTTGCTTTCTTCACTTACTTTTCCCACTGTCTTACCATTTATATTTTCTACCCTTTTCCTGTTGACTTTTGTCACTTTTTCCTCTCCCTTTCTTATTACCTTCTTTAATGTTTAACCTTTTTTCTTAGTACTAAAAACATAGCTACGTTATCAAGTATGGAATAATACCTTTATGCTAGGATATTTGGAGTGTCTGCAACAAGATAACTGTTGTCAAGTGATAAATTAAACTCAGCTGAAAAATGTATCTTTTCTTCTTTTTTTTTCTTTTCTGTCTACCACTTTTTTGCTTAAATCTCTTCTCTTACCACGTTTTCCTTCAGTCATATTTTAACCTGTACATTAAGAGAGATATATCCCTATTGTAGCATATCTGTGTTATCTGAGAGAGGCTGACGTTTTTAATCATGAGGACTAAGAGCTATTTTCTGCTGTTTCCGTGAAAAGACGATGTGTAAACTGGCGTGCATATTTTATTCCTGACACATAAGGATAAACTTATGAAAGATAATTTTTTTAAGACAATAATTGTCTTTATAACAGCTCTTCTAATGCTCGTTGTTTTTTTAATCAGCTTCTTATTTTGCACATGGATGTAATACATCTTACTTCATAATTTAACAAACTCTATTATAATGTTGCCACTGCATTCATTTTTAATCAGTCGGTTATGACTTTGTTATTCATCAAGGGTATATTAAGTTAATTATTCGGTAGATTATTTGATGTACTGTATCGCTTGATATCTTCTTTTATAATATCGTTAATAATTTAACCGCAAATCTTATATATTAAGCTATTACTGTCGGCTTACAGTAACTTACATTTGTTAAAACGCTAACTTGTAAGCAGATAGTGAAAGTCGTATATGAGAGTCTTGAATACATTTAGTATACTGAAATCACAAAAATTTAGTTTTCTTACACTAATCTTCATGCATTCCAGTTGAATAGCTACAAGATTTTCTACAAAGACTAAGCGACTGTGGAAGTTTTGTAGAGTAATGAGCCATCCATCACTGTGGAGCTCTTTCTACTTCTTCCCAAGCTTAACATCAACTTGCTTACGCTCTATAGTCTTACCGTACATAGCGTTAATCATGAGTTCAAGACGGAGCTTTTCAAACTCATTTTTATTCTGCTTGCTCTTCTCCATGTTAAGATCTATGTATGGTTCAAGTTGCGAATATTTTGAAAACACAAAAGTCCATGGACTTTCTTGAGTACTAGTCCATATGTCAGAGAATGCTTTTATGTCGTTCAACGTACAATGTAGTGCTCCTTATCATACAAAGTTTTCATAAGCTCTTGCTGATTGGAGTAAAGAGGAGCCGTACATTTTGGTCAGAGAAGTAAATCCTTATAATTATTGTAAGTAGCCAATGGACACTCCAGACCTACTTTTAATATATACCCATGATTATGTATATAGGAAAAGTTTGACTCTATAACATGGTAAACCCAGTAGAAGCCTTCTTTCGATAGTGGCTGTCTCATGGCCCATCTACATAAGTTGCTTGCGTCAATAAAAATAAGATATTTGTCCTCTTATTTGGGATTATAAAATCTTCCCATGTACTTATCACTGGTTTTAACGTAGTGGTAGCAAAATTTACTGACATCTCTGATTTTCTTTTATAAGTAGGAGAATGTCTATGTCGTTGAGCAGCTTTTATTCAACTTAAGTGAGCCTAACCATGGCGTTCCAAATAAGACTGGGTGTGACGAAGTAATGTGCAGAATCTCACTCGTATACTGCCATGCAAGTTGAGCAAAAATTTTTAAAGATAATTATCAAGATTAAAACATTTGATTTTTAATACAGATAAGAGTACTTTTTTTGCATTAGAATGATAATTTTCGTCTAAACGTGTTTTCCATGTTTGTAGTATTGGAAACATTACCATCGCTTAACTTACTGTAAAACTCTACTTTAGACTACAGTTTTTATTCTTTTAGATTCTTTAAAGAACTTATGTAGCCATCAGGCTAGATGAGAGTCTCATCTGCTTCTCACCATATGAACTCTGAAGTTCACTGCTCGTAATCTTACACACATCGAAATGTGATGCAGATTTTTCTGTGACAAGCTTTGGTTTATCTGAAATTAATATCTTTTGTTTAAGACAAGGTCATTGACTTTAGATTATTACATAGCTGTTACACACATTTTTTTGCATTATTTGAGCACTCCTGTTAACAGAATGCAGAGCAGATACAACTTTCCACTTGAAACACTGGTCTTCATTATTTTCCACATTAACACAGGACTCTTTTTTCCTCACATCGTCTGACAATAGAATATATGAGCTTGCTTTTATAGGACTAAATTTATTTATATTTACGGCCAAACTGATTACTTGTTGCAGTTTCCAACCAGAATCTCTCTGTTCAAGCTTTTCCATGTGATGTATGATAGGCTGTTCCATGTTTGAATTTAACCAGTTATCATCTATGTTAGTTGATCTCACACAGTCAGCATTTTGAGTTTTAAAATGCTTCAGATCGATGACTTCCGCATCATTTTTTTGGATCATGTACTCTGCATCAAGCTCAAAATTAACTTCAGAGGTATTGTGTGGTTTGAATGCACTTGTAATTTTGAATATAAAAATAATTTTTGGATCATCTAAGAAGAAAGTTGTGGTTATGTATCCATGATTGGTTATCACACAAGCTTCTATACAAGTCTTGAAGGATGACAATATATCTATTTTTACTGCACACTGCTTTGTCCATTATCGTTATTTCATGAACTAGGATCGTTTGTACAATTATTTTTATTGTCACTGCTTTGCACACTCGAATTATCTGCATAGTTTTTGACACTATGACTGTTTTGTTTACTATAATGATGCTACAGAAAAACCTGCTGTAACTCTTCCTCGGTATTACTCAGTAAACTGCTAAGCTTGACTTAAACGCAGGAAAAAGATGACCATATGCATTGGCAGAATTGCATCCTCCTCTAGATAATAATGTCGAGACATACTTTTTTAACACTTTAAGCAATTAATTAGTTAACTCTAACCTTTTTTGTAGATTATTATCATCGGATTTAGCAATTTGACTCTTAAAATATTTTAAGTACTGAGCATTTATAATGTTCATAGAAAATAATTAAAAAATTTTGGAAAAAATCGTAAGAGAGAGGAAAGGATGATGGGTGATACTTACAACTTAGATCGATAAAACTGTTTTGGAATACTGCCTCCTTGTCTCCAGTTCTTTTCAAGTAGTCGGTATCAGAGCTGCAGCACCATGACTTCTCACTTGCTTGCGATGCCACAACTAATTTTTACAAGCTACCCTTGGTTCTTATATGTCTGACAAATAAGAAATCTCATTATAACCTTGAGATACCACTACTGCAGCTCTTTACTGTCTACTACTGCGCTTGCATTTAGATGCCTCATTTATATGTAATGAGAAATAAAATCTGCTGTGGTCTAGAATTTCAGTATGCTTTGAAGAGAGCTTTACGAATCACTTTTTCGCTGGCTATATATTATCTTTTAAGTATCTGCCTGTTCCTATTAGCGCAACTTATAGAAAAACCCAGGCTTTAGTCAATCACCTTGTGACGCAGAGATTATGTCGTCAGTGTGCGTGATCCATGAACTAAAGTATAGCGAGTGCTCGCACCTACTACTAATGAGCTTGCTCTTCAATGCACCTCTACCTTTCAGACTGGTAAAGCGTATCTCGCTGCTTCTCTGAACTCGCGCCATTTCAACTGCTAATACTGAAAAGACTATCTACTATGTATACTAAAAGGGTTAATGGCTCTTATTACAGTTATATCTCTGTACAGAAAAATCAGTTTATTGTTATTAAAAATGGTCAAAATTATAAGAAACAACAAGAAGAGCTTGTATCTCATTTAAAAGAGTGCGTCCCAAATAACTGCTGTATTTATTTGTGCCTTTCTCTATCCACCTTCCTCTCTACGGTTCTGGCGAGCATCTTCGTGATCTCATTATTCTCAGTTCAATATTATAATTCTAAGCATAGTCCTTTGACCTAGATCGTAGGGAGTCGAACTCTATTATAGCCATCTTGGCTATTGCCTTTGAAAAAGCAACAAACTAGCAGCTATCGCGGTTACATGTGTTCACACATCTAAACTTTTTTTGCGTCAACGAGGTACGTCGTAAGACTTTTTTTTCTTTTTCCCTGCGTTTGCTTTTTAGCACGCAGTATGAATATTACTAATGCACCTATTCTTTCTCCTCCATAATGTGGTTGATGTTGTTGTGCCTTTGCACACTTACACACACTTGAAAGTTTGTTGCTGTATATTTGAACGGCACAGCCATCTATACGTGCACATTTGTATACATTCTTATTTAGTGCGTTCATCTATACTATTCGAGCTAACAAGCTCCTTATCTATTTTTTCTCTGGTTTTTTCTGTGCACGAGAACATTTTTTTTTTATTGTCAACACGTGCAGCGTAGAGGAGTAAGTATAAAGACAGTGTATTTACATAGGCATACACTTAAAGACATTTTTAACTTGCATGCTTTGTTTGCTGCTTCTGCCGGCTGATCGAATTCATGGCTAATGACTTTGTCGCCATCTGGACTGCTACGAGTTGATGCGCTTTTTTCTGATGCTGCTGCAGAATGACGCCATTGTTTCCGAATTCATTTGATTTTATAATGAAATGGTGTAAATACAAAGTTGTACTTTCTGCTAACGTGGATCAAATATTTTGACAGATTCTCCTTTATTAATCTAATCAAACGCTTTAAGCCATTCACTGACATAAAAACTTTAGTGAACCTGTATCATTATACCTTGTTACAACTGTCATGTATGGTCTAGTTTGCTCGCCTTTATTAACCTCTAGAGTACAGAAAGAACTAGTGCTATAACATCTTCATTTATATCTTCTGGAAGCTTAAATACTTCGAAAAAGAGTTTATATGGATGATCTTCTATCAGGCGCTCATTCAATATCATAGGCAGTAAACAAAATAGACAAATTAACAGAAAAAACAAGCTTAGGTTGTTTTCAGTTACAAAAATTTTGCAGAAATTCAGCCCAAATTCTCAAAAACATACCCCTCAAACTTTATTTCATTAGTGCTTTGGATTTATCACAATCCTGCGAATCTACCCTTATGTTCAGTATTAAATAGAGGTTCAGCAATGATGAATTGTACTTCTAAGCAGAGGTATTGAGAGCAATGTTGTTTGGACTAAGCGCTCTCTTTTAACTTAAATTGCCTTATTTTTCAATCCACTAGTCTGGATTTCCCCTACAACTATTAAGCCAAAAATAATAATGATGACATAGAAACTTTAGTAATCATTCTGTATCTACAGTAATTATTGGTGAGGTAGAAACTCATCTCTGGACAGATTCTAAGAACGTTCTACATTGGATTAATGCCGTACTTTCTCGTTTGCCAACCTTTGTTGCTAATCAATGCTCTGACATCATGACTCTTGTTCCAAGAGCACTCTGGCATCACGCTTCCACTTAGTAAAATCCTGCTGGTGTAGCTTTGAGAGAAGTCTCTTCTAATCGATCACTCAATGAAAAACAATTGTTCTATAGACTAAAATTTTTACGTTCCACTAAAATCGTCTATCCCCAGCTTAAGTTGGAGAAAACTACAAATCAACTGAAATTTTAAACTTATCAACTTGCTGACTCTAAAGTTTCACAGCTAAATTTACTAAAAATCGTGAGGTTTGGCATCTTTAGTTCAAATACAGTAGTTGACCCAAGTTACTGAAAATCACTGCTTTCTGTATGCGCTTCATTCGTAAGCTGATGCGCAAATATACTGTCACGTCTTCTTTTATTTATTGAACAAAATACCTTAGGCACTCCTGTGTGAAAGTCCCAATATTCACCTCATATTTATTCAGTTAATGTTCTTCATAAAGAAGCTCCCAATCTTATAATTTCTGAATTAGACGATGCTCGTTGTTTTTTGGTCAGATCTCATCAGAAAATTTACTATCTCTAATGATATAAAGCTTCTTCTTAAGCCTCTAAAAGAGTAGAAAATCAACCTTAACTTATAAGATCAGACAGCTCATTAATCTAATTACGGCCAATCTTCATTAATAGCATACTTAGAGTAGGTGGCAGGCTTGTGAACGCTAAAATCCGTGACGCAATAAAGCAACTTTTTATTCTTGCACATAAAAGTCATTGAACTGATCTAATAGTTCGTCATCTTTATCAAATAATTTTGCATGGTGGCGTCCAAGCTACGCTTTCCTCTATTCATCAAATGTACTGGATAGTACATGGTCACCAAATCGTCAAAGCAATCCTCAATAATGGCATTAAAAACTAAAGGTATAGTAGTAAACCACAGAAGCAGCTCATGAGCAGCTTGCCACAATCCCGTGTAGCTTGTTCTCTTGCGTTCTCTAAAACAGGCGTTAATTATGCAGGTCGTTTCCCCATTCGTTTAGCTAAAGTCCAAGGCTGTGGAACTCAAAAGGGGTAAATAGTGGTATTTGTGGGCAGGCCAACAAAGGCAGTTCACCTTGGGATAGTAGATCGCAATTTTTTTTAGCGTCGTCGTGGTCAATGCACTGACCTTTACAGCGATCAAGGTGCTAATCTTGTAGGTGCTGCTTCTGTTCTTAAATAAGTTTTTGTTTGAATGATATTATTATAGATAAATAACGCAATCCATTTCTTAATTTAGGTATCAATTAGTACCTTAAACCGCCTTCCACTCCCCATTATAGAAGGTAATGAAAAGCTGCGGTAAAATCGACTAAGTATCATATTGATAAGTCATTAGCAAGCTGGTTTTAACGTTTGTAGAATCTTATACCGTTTTACATCGTATTAAGGCATGTATTAATCTAGACTGTTGTTAGCTCTCTCAGATGATCATTAGGATTCTCTCTCTTTGACTCCTGCTCACTTCATTAACGCAAAACCTGCTTTTTAAATTCCTGAATCTTCTGTTGATCAGAAACAACTAACGATACTTTGGAACTGAAAATTAATTTCTTTCACTCTACAAAACTTTTGAATACTTTAGGCTTCAAGATATTTGAGTAATTTCTAAGCCCGCCAGAAGTGGTATACAAAAGAAAGGTTAATGCGTAGAAACAATTTAGTTTGAATCAAAAAGGAGAGCTATCATCCTCATCATTAATTAATTATTAGCCTTAAAGCTAGATTAGTTAAAATTTTTGAGGGTTCTAATAATCTTGATAAAGTAGCAAAGTTACGTACTGCTAACAATGTTCTTACCAGGCCAGTAGTAAAAATAGTACTTTAAATTTCTAAGGAAAAAGTTAAGAAATGTTTTTGATTTTTTTTGTAAATACAAGGGAGAGATCAAAGAGAATCAGTTTTATTCTCTTTGTTTGTTAGTTTTATTTCTAAATCTCGTTATCAATTGAATAAAATGTTTTACTTTTTATGACGTTTACTTATTTTGCTTAAAACACCATGACAAGAGAGCTGTCCTTATTTTAATTGTTTTCCATAAAACAAAAACATTGCAACAACTAATAACTAAAATTTGTATTACTTTTGTATGAGAACAACAAAATGTTCTTTGGCGCGCATCACTAGATTTGACACACCCACCCGGGAGCATATCACTTAAGTAGAAGCATGTTTCTATCATTGCAAGCATATATTAAAACTCAGGCATTAGTTGATCACCATGTGGCGCAGTGATTGTCTCGTTAG